TAACAGTTGTATTGTTTACCTTAACATATATTCTTTATTTCACCGAGCTCCCTTTTTCTCCCTTTTTTCTTTTTAATCTCCAGCCATCCGTAAAGTAGCTCCCAGGTCATATAATATTCAGTTTGTGCTCGGCCGTTTTGGTCCGCCTTGTGTGACTCCTGAGTAGAGATTCCTTTAGTAATTATGCCAATAGAAAGGAAGTTTTTTGTTTTTTTTTTAAATCAAGAGTTGAATAGTTGATCAAACTATAACAGAGAACGTGTCTTCCTCCAACAGTCCTATTGAGGTTAATCATTGGGAGGCTGGGGTTGAGAGTCTAGCAAAATATTTTCTAGCACCAGGTGTGTTGATTAACCTGCAAATGGCTGGTGTTTCCTGATTGGAGAATTTATTTGACCCTTTTCTAGGAATGGAGGTAGATACAGGTAGGCCTCGTCTTACGGCTACAGCGGAGCCCAGTATTTCTGTTGCTAAACGAGACAGCTCTGCCCTCATCTTGATGAACTTTCTGGCCACGTTGTTAAAACGGAATGGCTTCCGTTGTTAATTCAGTGACGTGGTCATTAATCTGGCTTCCTCGTTGACTTGGCTTGCTGGAACGTCGCAACGGGGGATCACGGAACACTGCAACCGTCATAAATACGAGTCAGTTGCCAAACGTCTGAATTTTGATCACGTGACCATGGGGATACTGCAATGGTCGTAAGTGTGAAAAATAAGTCCCCTTTTTTCCAACTTGGAACGGTCACTAAATGAATTGTTGTAAATCAAGGACTAGTGGTATAAGAAAATCATTCCCCCAAAAGGGAGATGGAACATTAGTTTATTTTCAGCCAGAAATCCATATCCATATAATAGTATAAAATAATAATATTAGTTTATGGTATACTAGTAATAGTATGATACTAATAAATTAATTTTTGGTGAGAGAACTGATTTTTTTTAAAAAAGGCTGGCAAGCAGCTCATACGCTTGCTTCTTCCCAAAGGTTAAGCCCAAAGGTTTGAAGTATATATATATTTTTCTTAAAAAAGAGAGAGAGAATTTCTGGAACTCGGGTTGTTTTTGTCTGATGGAAAAAAAGGAGAAATGGTTATTTTCCATCCCAGGTTCTAAAATGACAAAGAGGCTTTTGTCACCATCCTAAATAATTTGGTTTGGTGGGAAGTTGGAAACAGGAAGGTTGAAAACCCCTTAAAGGGACAAATTCTGCCCCATAACATCAGAGTTAAATCTGGCTGGAAAGTCCTTTGCTTCTTTCTCCCTTCCCTCTCTAAAACTCTCAGCAACCAAGATGGTTTGGGGACAAATGTTCATTTTCCTCAAATTTTGCAATTCTCACAAAGATAAATCCAGCATCTTTCTATCAAGGATAGACAAAACTCCTATTTCTCAAAGGGTCACTTTAATTTTTAATTTTAATTTTATTTTATTTTAATTTAATTTTTTTAATTTTAATTTTTTCCAGGCCTGAGGGATTCTGGGAGTTAAAGTTCTTTCCTAAAGTGGCTCAGATTGAAAAACATTGGCCTAAAGTCTAGATTTGCTGGAATTTAGACTCCATTCAATGAGTTATTTTCTTTTTTTATCCGCTTCCCAGTTTGCAACTACCTGTAATTTTCCACAAAATTCGCTGAAATTTTCCACTGTCGGGTTGTGGAAACGAGACAACTCCTTTACTCCGGGTTGTAAATTGACATACCTTTTGAAATAACTCTGAGGCAGACACTCTGAGCTGCGTGGGCGACAGACTGATTTAAGTTTTGGTTTTTTTCAGAAGAGATTTTTTCTTCTTCCAGAAAAGTGTTTAATCCAGGTAGTCCTTGACTTAACTATTGCAATTGAGCCCAAAATTTGCATTACTGAGACAGTTATTAAAGGACATGCACCTCGTTTTATGCCCCCTTTTTTGCCGCAGTTATTAAGTGAATCTTGCAGTCATTAAATGAATCTGGCTTCCCCCATGGACTTTGGGGGAAAGCTGACTGGGAAAGTCACAAAATGGTGAGTATGTGATTCCCCTGGAGAAGGGAAGCAGAATTCCTCAGTCATTATACAGGTAGTCCTCATTGTACGACCACCGTTGAGAAAAAAAATATTTGTTGTTACACAAGAGAGATGATACGTATATTTTGTCCCATTCTATGATTTCCCTTGCTACTGTTGTTAAGTGAGACAGCTGTTAAATTAATCTGGCTCCCTCCTCCCAAACTTCGCTTGCCGGAAGATTGGAAAAGCGGATTCCAGGACTTTTCAACCGTTCGTAAATGTGTGACAGCGGCCGAGGATGAGAATTTTGATTACGTGAACCTGAAGATCCTGCAAAGATTATAGGTGTGCAAAACATCACTTTTGAAGTCCCCCCCACTTTTTTTTTCCAGCGCCACTGTAACTTCCAACGGTCACTCAATGAATGGTTCTAAGTCAAGGACTACTCAGGGGTCTCCAACCTTAGCCACTTTAAGACTTGTGGACTTCAACTCCCAGAATTCCTCAGCCAGCAAAACTGGGAGTTGAAGTCCACAAGTCTTAAAGTGGTCAACCTTGGAGACCCCTGACCTATAGGGCCTAACAGACCAGCATGAAAATGAGAAGGAAGCTTGGCTTAACTTGGCTTGACCCTGTTAAAATATTTTGGAACGGTAAGTTGTTACTTGTCATTAAGCATGGCAATGAGTGGGAGAGAGAGAGAAGGGAAAAAAATATCTTGCAGTATTTGGCGTCTGCATTTTAAATCTCTTTATTTTCTTTCCTCTTAATCATCAAACGGGCACTTCAGCGTATAAACGCAATTATTAAAGTTCTGTAAACTAGGGGGGAAAATGTCAGGGAAATGGGTTGTAAGAAAGCAGCCCAACTTTACACAGGTTTCGGTCCCTGATCCATTTCATTTCCAAGCCATGTAAAACCTGGGAATAGACACTTGCTCTCAAATTCATTGACTTATTATTTTTTCCCCCCCAGTTTGGAAGATTTTTCAACAGTCTCTGATCCGATTCTTGTGATCCTCCCATTTGCAATGGGAAAAACTTTAACGGATGTTGTGTGCTTTTTAAATGACATGTCAGTTCTGAAATCGGGCGCATTGCCGCCCTTCCAACGGCTTTTTTTTGGGGGGGGGAAATGTGAAGCAGTTTGCAAAAGACTTCGGGGGGGGGGGGGAAGCATGTTGGCAGCGCTGGCTTGCCCTTATTTTCTTAAACTGGAATGTGGCTTTACTTGGTTTGGATTTAACGGGTGACTTTAATCCAGCCTCGGGGCGTTTCCTAATCCATGGTTTAGTGCAGGGGTCTCCAACCGTGACCACTTTAAGACCTGCGGACTTCAAGTCCCAGAGTTCCTCCGCCAGCCAGTTGGAGACCCCTGGTTTAGTGGACCATCCGCGATTTCAACTAATGACATAGCTGGACGTTTAGACAAGCATGAAGAATCCAGAATGACAAGAGCTGGAAGGGACCCTGGGAGGTCTTCTAGTCCAGCCCCCTATTCCAGCAGGAGAGCCTATGCCAGACGTCTCCAAACTGGGCCAGTTTAAGACTTGTGGACTTCAACTCCCAGGGTTCTCCAGCCAGCATAGCTGACTCTCTTGTAATCCCTTCCTCTGCAATCTCTCTCCACTTTAGGAGATTAAGAGAAAAAGCAGGCATGGCTGGTTGGGGAATTGTGGGAGTTGAAGTCCACAAGTCTTAAAGTTGCCAAGTTTGGAGACCTCTGCCCTACACCATTTCAGACAAAGGGTTGTCCAATCTCTTCTTAAAACTCTTCCAGTGTGGGATCATTCACAACTTCTGGAGGCATTAAGGAAGTTGCAGGCTTCAATTCAATTCTGATTCTTGCAGGTCTGTTGTTTTTTTTTAAATCAAGTTTTGGGCCAGGCTGGGGGCAACCACAACAGAAAAACCGACCTGTTATGCGCAAACTCCCCCTTGTGTCTTCGTAGCTGTGGCAGAAACATTTGCTGTGGGCACCGAGCAGGCCCGTTGCAACTCGAATCAGCCTGCCTTTGGATCTATTATCTGTGCTTTTCCATCCAAGGCCGGGAGACAAAAAGGAGAACATTCTCCGCATGGAACATGCAAAGGGAGCAGCGGAAAACGTTAGAAACACCCCAAGTTGAAGGCGTGTAGAGGAGAAAAATGTGGGCATGGCACCGAGGATGAGGAGGGGAGGGCAGGAGGGAGGGAAGGAGGAAGGAAGGATTAAGAGCAAGGCAGAAAAAAAAATTAAAAGAGAT